CGATGGTCAGCCAGCAGCCGACCGCCCGGCCGCAGCGAGCCGGCGGGGCGGTCCGGCCAGAAAATGAACCGGCCGGTTTAGACCGGTTTTTGAGCTATTCAGTATTTACTGATCCGGTTCGAGTCCAATACAGTATTTCAGTTAATTTTTCAGTCCAGTCAGTCCAGTACACCGGTATCAGTTCGGTTCGGTTTTTCTTGTCAGTCAAGTTAAGTCCCGAGAATATTCCAATTAAATATTTAGATCGGGTCGAGCATCTTAACAGTTATTTTCAGTCAGTCTGAGTGTAGTACTTAGTATTTGTTTATTTATATATTTTTACAGAGTGATCAGTAGCAGCACTTACATTATCAGTACAGGTGGGAACCCAGCTTGGGTATTACATTGAGTATAATAGCTATTATCATGTCAAAGGTATGTATATGAGTTATCCGCATTGGGTAGAGGCCAGTTGCCTTAATATGCCATTCCGAGTTCTGGTAGAGGCGCAGCAGCCTTAATATGCCATCAGAATGTGCACACGGTTCAGTTCAGTTACCGACCTAGTGTCGGAAGATTACAATTTACTTATATATACCTGCGACCATGATATTGATATTATTATTAATGTTTACTTTAGTATGAGTTTCTGCGGAGTACAGTGTTTATAGTACTCACGCTCCAACTATTATGATTCTTTTTCAGGAGACAGGGTCGGTCCGGAGAAGTGAGTGGAGCTGGTGGTCGCCGGTCCAGTACATGTAAATATGTATATGTTTTTGCAGACTGTTGATATGTACATATTTGCCACGTTTTTACTTCCGCTGACATATTCAGACTTTCAAACTAGCGTGTAAATTTTCAGACAATGATCCGAGTTTTCGGGTCAAGCTTTATACAGTATCACACGCTTGTTTTATAAAAGATAATCCATTTTTCATAATGGGTTTAAAGTTAACGGATTTTTATAAAAGAAATATTTTATGTAGCATCCCGAGATATGTTTCGCAAAATAAAATGTAAACTTCAGAATAGAATTTGCGAAAATCGCACTCTCATTTTAGTAAGCTAGCGGGATGTTACAAATTGGTATCAGAGCACATTTTCGTGTGTCTGAATACTTTTAATGTCAGAAATTTTCGGAAACGACCCGACCACGCTACGCTCACGCCTAGCCGACTATCAGGTAAGTGCTGAGTTACAGTTTATATATTTAAATAAATACTTAAGTCTACGCTTAGTAAGAGGGTATCAGATAATTGACCCTAGAAACCAGTAAGATGCTCGAGTATGTTCAGAATTTGGTCGATTGTCCCAGTTAATTGATAGTTCGACTTTTGTATTCTCGGGTTATTAGCGACTCGTCAAGAGATCTGTGTACTTAAGTAATCAGTCAGTTAATCTCTCATGTTATTTAATCATATTAAATATTTCAATGTTCAGATGCCTCCTCGTAGAGAGCCAGATCACCAGGAACTCCCACAGGCCACAGTGGTCGCCCTGTTCAGCGACTACCATTCAGAAAAGTTTTTCGGCCAAGGAGATCCTCGTGTAGTAGATGAATGGGTTCAGGGTCTCGAGATTATTTTTGAGGTCATGAACTGCCCTGATCGTTATCGCATGTTATGTGCCCAGATCCAGCTGACCGGTGATGCCCGACTCTGGTGGCAAGCCTATTGGAGTATGCGTCCCGGTGAAAAAGACGGTTGTACGTGGGACCAGTTCAAGGAGCTGATCCGAGAGAAGTATTATCCCTCGTATTACCGAGCAGACATGGAGCGCCAGTTTTTGGCACTCACCCAGGGTACTCATTCTGTCGACGAGTACGAAAGAGAGTTCACCCGTCTCGGAGCCTTTGTACCTGATCTTGTGGGTACAGAGGCAAAGAGAGCCCACCGTTTCACTGACGGACTCTGCCCAGCAGTCCGCCACAACATCGTAGGTCACGGTGTTCAGACCTACGCTCGCGCAGTTGCCATTGCCCAGGAAGTCGATGCCAGTATCCGACGAGAAGCCGCCCAGACATCAGTCCAGCCAGTTGCTCAGCCACCAGCCCAGCCCAAGGTTGCCCAACCATCAACAAACAAGAATAAAAGGAATTTCAAAGGAGGTCCAGACGATCGCAGGAACCGCCAAAGACAGAAGACAATACCAGAATGCCCAACATGCGGGAAGCACCACCGTGGAGAATGCCTCGTGGGCCAGAATGTTTGTTTCTTTTGCCGCCAGCCAGGTCACTTCAGCACCAACTGTCAAGAATGACTGCAACAACAACCGCAACAACGTCAACCACCACAGCAACCTCAACAACAGCAGCCCAGGCAGCAACCACCACGACCACAACAACAGCAACGCGGCAGACAGACGGCCCGCGTCTTTACAGTTGATCAGAGGGAGGCCGACCAGCACCCAGGTACCATGTCCGGGATGATTATTCTTAATGATGTGCCTGTCTATGCTTTATTTGATACTGGAGCGACCCATTCTTTTATATCACGTTGATGTCTTGAAGCTATTGGGGTTCGTTCCACTACCGCTGTCGATCCTCTCGAGGTGAGTTTAGCCTCGGGAAGAAAGATAGTGACTGACGCTAGAGCCACCGATCTCAGCCTTTCCATCAGCGACCGTGTTCTGAGTACTGATACTTATGTTATCGAGATGAGGGATTTTGACCTCATACTCGGTATGGATTGGCTAACTCGTTTTCACGCAGATATTTGATGTTACGACCGGGAGATTACTCTTTATCTTCCGGGAAATGATCAGATCACTTATTACGGCTCCAGTACTCGTACTCTGCCACATGTTATTTCTATGGCAAAAGCCAGAAAGATTCTTCGACGGGGTGATTGCCAGGGTTATCTTGTAAGCCTTGTTGGAGATGAGCCAAAGGCACGTTCACCTCATGACATTCCTATCGTTCGTGAGTTTGTGGACGTGTTTCCAGACCAGCTTCCCGGAGGTCCACCTAGCCGACAGGTGGAATTTTCTATTGATCTTATCCCTGGAGCCGGACCCGTTTCAAAGGCACCGTACAGAATTGCGCCTAAAGAATTGCAGGAATTAAAGACCCAAATTCAAGAGTTGCTGAATCTCGGTTTTATACGACCGAGCGTTTCTCCTTGCGGAGCACCAGTCCTTTTTGTCAAAAAGAAGGACGGATCCATGCGTATGTGTATCGACTACCGGGATCTTAACCGGTTGACGATCAAGAATA